TATAGTTTTATAGATTTATCCCCTAAGGATCTGGCTTCCAGACAAAAAACAAAGAAACAAACAGATGACAAGGAACAAAAAAAAAAAAAGGAAATTCAAACAGAAGCTCTGCTCTATTTTGCCAGTAATAGATATGCTATTGTGCTGCAATGTGATGTGTTTTATAAAACACATCTGGAATATGGAAGTGTACTATGAAAGCTCATCAAAAACCTTTATCTTTTTTAAAAAAAAATTAAAACAATTTAAAGGAAACAAATCTTGGGGATGCATGTAGCTGCTGACAGTATATTAACGTTTCTCTTGGAAACCTGGCATCTTATTCTAGTATCTATAAAATATGCATTTTCAAAATAATTTATACTTACACAGAGTAAAACATATCTTTCAGAGCCAGAGGTCATTATTCGTTGTGAGAATAAACACAAGCAGCAGTAGTTTCTTTTTAAGATCCAAATACGCTGCACTGCACATATATAGGAAGGTAAAATGTTATGTATTCTATACTCTCAAACCCAAAATACTGCTGGATCAATTCTAAAAGCTCCTAATCCTGCACACATATATGGGATTTATACAGCTTGGGAAGCCAAATCTTAATTTTAGTATTTTTTCTTTCATCATAAGGACTTATTTCCTTAACTGTATTTTGAAGGCTTCATCAGGTCATTTCCACTTTTTGAGTAATGGGTAGTCCCTGGAAACTTATAAAAAATGGATGAAGACTGGGATCCTCTAAGCACAATGCCCTCTCATGTAACAGGGCCACAGAGATCCAAAAGGCTACCATAACCCCTTGGGCTCAGCTGAGGCTCCATGGTGCCAACTGGAAACGAATTTTCTTTAAAATTGATTTGTCAAAATTAAAATGAAATTTATCCTGCACACATTTTTTGGCACCAGGAGAGACGTAGAAGGTGAAATAAAACCAGAGAGATTTTACAACACTCAGCAGTCAGAGGGTAAACTTGGAATGCAGGGGATCCAACCGGGACCTGGGCTCACACCTGGGATTTAAACCTGGCTTTCCCAAGTCAGGCTGGTGAGCAGGTCGGCAGGCTGTGCTAGTACGAGTGGGTATCCTGTGAGAGCTGTTTCACTTTGTATTAATAATTCAATATTTGCAGGGAGGCGAGGAAGAGAGAGAGCCTAATCCTACAGTCTAGTGGTCAAACATCCACTTGGGATACTGGGGTCCTTTCCCTGTCAAAACCACCCAGCAAACAGGAGGGTAGGAAGGAGGAAACAGTGATGCTGATCAAATTAGATCAAAGCAGGAAGGTCACTGCCCGAGCGCTGTCTGGGAAGAAAACACTGACTGTGACAAAGCTAAATTTGGTTTTTAAAGTAATCTTATTAAGCCTCTCCTTCTTTGAAAGATTGAAAAAAAAAAAGTTTTAAAAACCAGAGACTTAAGTTTGTTCTCAAAATGTCTCAGGGTCTGGCAACGATGTTAATATACCTTTTTATCATGATCTTTATACATGTTAGGCAAACCACAGGAAACTACCTGTCATTTAGTAATTTAAAGGTAATTAAAAAGAAATTCTATTTTTAGTGTCTCTGTGTTCTGGAAGAATGACAATCCTCCTGCATATAGCTAGCTTTTGCAGGAGGCAGACGAGAAGAGGAGGGAAGAGGAGGCCAAGAGAAAGTCATATATGGGAAACATTTCTTCAGTACACGGCCATGCAGGAGCACATTTTAGAACAGTGGAGGACAGGGAAGACTGCAAGTCAAAATGTCAGGCTGCTGTTAGGCCAGGGCATTAGCATACTTTCATTATTTGCTATTTGATGGAAACTTTCACGAACCTCTGAGGAGTAACCTTGCACTCACATGGAGAAGGCAACCCCCACTGTATTAAGAAACCTGTGGACATAGCGAGTTTATAAAACGTCGAAGAACAGCTGTCCCTTAAGAGAACGACTTCTTCACAAAGGCCGCAGAGCGTCCCGGCTGCCGCGGCCCCCCCCAGCTGCTCTAGGGCACCATGAAACGCTCCCCCCCTCAGCCCCAGCAGCAGGAGCCAGCCCTGAGCCTTCTGCACAGCAAGGTGGGGCAGGGGCTGGCCCACGCCCGCCAGGGGCGGGCTGGTGGGTTTCGACCCGCCGTGGCTCACCTCCCGTTTTCTGCCAGCCTCCTCCTCTCACACCCTGGGGCCCTCCACCGAGGTGTGGGCTCTGTCAGCTCTCAGGGCAGGGAATGGAAATGCTGAGCACAGGGGACAGGACATATCAAGGAGGAACTCCAGAAATACTCCATTGTGAGGAATTCCTCTCTGGGTGGGCGCTGCCGAGTCACCAGCTCTGGGCTTAGGTACGTTTCAGACCTCACTAGCCCTCCTGACCAAGGGGACTCTGAGCTGAGACCTGCCCAGCGCTGGAGGCCAGCTCCCCGCCTCGGCCACACAGCACCGCGAGCACTGCACCCCACGGCACAGGCGCTGTGCCAGGCCAGCATCACTTCCAGTCCAGAAAAGAATCAAAATCTGTGCAACTGGAAAAAATCCAGAAAGTGAGATGTAGCTTGGCTATGCGCTGTATCTGCTCTGGGTTTGTGTACCAGAGAACATGATAAACCAGCTTTGCGTCGGTAAAACATGGAAAATGGACTAAGCTTACCGCTTCTGTAATAGTGCTGACTTTCACTTTAAAAAATAATTATCTTTTGAGAGGAATTATTTGAAAAAACAACAGAAAGTTACAGGCTCTATTACACAATAAAACAGAACAAGAAGCATAAGTATGTCAAAATAGAAAAATGATACTTTACACTACGAAGCGACTTCCACGCCAGGACCACAGAGCTCTTCCCAACAAGCCTGTAGGCATCTGAGTAGTGTTGCTGCCATTTCACAGACAGAAGAAAAAAAGCACGGAAAGGTCAAGTGTCTGGCTGCCGGCCATGCGGCTCAGTCGAGAAGAGACCTCCCAAGTACGGCCACCCTGCCCACTGCTCTGATGAGACAACACGTTGTCTCTTTTTTGTCTTCTTGTATTCACGCCAGGTCTCTTGATTTAAAATTGCTTTCCTGCTTCTGTAAATTTGTATACTGCTACACTCTGATCACTGAGCAGAAAGTATTGCGAGGTCTTGCAGAGGCTATTGACTTTATTGGCTGTGCAGCTTTCTTTTGTGCAATGAGTTGTGGGATTGGGACCTAGTGGTGCCAACTATCAGCGATAAACCTTTATATACTTGTCTTCGACTATATGCTCTTTAAAAACATAATAAATGCCAATAATTTATATTTTGATAATGAAAACCATTTCTGATAACGTAATTGACAACATTTCCAGTGGTTTTCATATTTTTTAAGTGACCAGACATGTGTCACAGGTAATGGTGCATCCTAAAGTAACATTTTCTGTTTCCTCTGTAAAACTGCAGGGGAAAAAAAAATTACTTACACACACACACACACATATATATATATACTAAAAAAAAATAAAATTGGTGAAAGATGTTTCCTCAGGTCCCACTTACAACAGAGTTATAAATAACAGAAATGCTGGTACATCCTCCCTTATAGCTAAGAATCCAGGTGCCACTGTAATTTACACTACATGCATGTTTCAAATCTGTGACATGAGACACACTTTTCATAATGCAGTCATTTTATAGATTTTATTAGACAGACTTATGGTAGGAAGGAATATTCAGAAATTGCAACTTAAATGAGAAAATGTGAATGGTGTTACTTATATAAAATAAGACTGCAATAGTTCTTTTATTAATTTTTAATGCACAGCACCCACTGTGACCTCCTTTATTCTTTTCCTGTCAACATGGCAGGCTAGAGAAATTGAAATGGGCTGTAGCTGTTTTCTTCTTGCTCCCCTCTTCGTCCCATTTTGCATAATATTAAAATATAACATCTTATTGGATTGTCACTGTGAAATAATCATTATGCAATAGGCATAATGATTTCTTCTGATTGTTATATCTTCCTTACTTTTCAGCATTCTCTAAAAAATTCCAAATTCCATGTAGTCATCTTAGGCAATAAGGCAATTTTCCACTGAATACACTCGTCTGAATTAAAGTTTGTTTAAAAGTTATCTTTTGCTACAATTCTTACTGTTCTCTAAGTATAACACCAGACACAAAGAATTTTTTGCCTGTCTGGTCTCCTTTGATTAGATTTTTTTTGAGGTGAGGTAGGAGGCGGGTCCAATAAAATAGTGTTTGACTTAATCAGAAGGATGCTGTTACTTCTCTTACGTATATTCACTGCTACCTCGATCACCAAGGAGACTAATCTCCATACCAGTAAAGTCAAGAAGCTTACACTATTGTCTTTGCAGGGCCAAGTTCATGTTGTCACAGCAACAGAGTGCACAGGGTCAATAGATTAATACATTAGTGTGCAGAGGCACTGAACTGGAGTGTAGAAGTTTTGCTGCTGGTTTTAAAATTGAATGGGGAAGTAGGACTTGGAAATATGGCCTACACAAGATATTGTTGTCTATCTCAAGGAAAAAGCTACAAAAATATACATATATTTGCCTAATATAGTCTGTCATTTTTACCACAGTGGGAACAGGAGGAAATAACCTCCTCAGAAGAGATGCATTTGGCAAGAAGGAGGGAGGAAGGCTGGAGTTCAAGCTATGAAACATACACTGCATTTGGATTGTTGATATTTCCCCCTGCAATGCCCTTTCATTAGCCTCTGTCTAACGTGGGGCCTGACAATTGTGACAGAATGAAAAATTTGAGGAAGAGCAAGGGTCACGAGAGAAGAGATTTCCTTCCCTCTCGAGTGACCCTATCACAGTATTCTGATGCAGCGCTTTGCCATTAAGGAAAGGGCAACCCAAGAGCCTTCACACTTAATCTGTTCCATCTGTCATGACTATTAGAAACATTGACCAGCAGTGAGCTTTAAGGACTTGGTGTGACTGCAAACATGATATTCTAGCCCACTACAAGAACCTCCTGATGTTCCGAAAGCCTCCAAGGAAGTACCATGCATCAGAAAGGGCAACACCTACCTGACATGCCACCATATGTGGTCCTCAGTCCTCCCCCAACTGCTGGCCAAGGTGTGCTGTCTGCTTTCAGTCCCATCAGTCCCGACACAGTGTTGGTGGCTGTAACACCATCTGCTCCACCTGTGAAAGAAAAGGTCAGTCACTTTTTGTTAAATCACATGTGTAAGTACACGAAAGGAAAAAAAACAACAGAAAAGCCTGTGAAACTGTGAAATAACTAGAAATTTAAATAAACAGCTGAAGACAAAAAGCAACAAACTGGAGATGCACAGAAGCCAAGGTGATGCGCAGAAGGGTCCTTAAGACCAATCCTGGGCTGATAAATTTAGCACTAGCTTTGAGGCAGTTTGCATCAGTTGAAAGAGCTGTAAGGGCTATAAGAGCATGTGAGAAATACCAGGGCTAACAGGCAGATCTCTGCCCTTCACTGTGTGGGACAGAACTTGCTACAGCGGTTTTTCAACACACGGAGGTGCCCCAGCACAGGGGTCATCTCCTCCAAGCTTGTGGAGCTACATGAAATGAACAATGCAACAAAGCATGGTTCTAAGTGATGGATTAACACACCTATTTAGAAACTTTAAGTTGTAAGGAGGGAAAAAAAAATAATATATATACGTCTTCAAATGGTGTATTTCTGTTTTCTCAGACTAGAGGAATTTACAGTGATATGGTAAATGTATAAATATGATAGAAATAGGAGTGTGCAAGCACAGACATAAACATATATGATTTATTGTTAAGAGTCTAATATAGTTCTCTTCATATACTGCTATATTCTAGAACATAGACAAAATGAGGAAGTGTTTGATCACTATGTTTATTCTAAATACACCAGATAAACTACTTTCATATTAGTTTCTGTTGCTACATGTTATTATTCCAGCAACACCCCTATCTTACCCCATCTAGCAAATCAAAAAAAAATCTGCACAGCTTGTGCACTGGAGTTGGTTACCTTCCTGTGCAGCCATCGCAATATTCACAATATCAGTGACATTTGGGGTCAGCTTGGCAAAGAAAGGAATATGAACAGCTTGTCTAACCCAGCGACAGATGTTCCGTACCAGCTCTGGATCCTGTTCAAATAGGTCAGATAAACATAGAACATAATTAAAAGTAATACGAACAAAAGGTATATCAAGGAAATAGAAAACTTTGCTCTAAGTGGCTATGCTGCTATTTTGTGAAAGTACACATCAGGACTGAACCTCATCTCATTAGCTAACTTATTTCAGACACATCGAGGAAGTAGATATCCATTACAGAAAGGTTAGTTCATGAAAAAATGAAAATTTGCTTTTTTCTTTTTCCCCAAAAGACAAAGATATCACAAAATGTTTCCTTCCCAGAGAGGGAAAAATATCATTTTGGATGACACAGACTTTCTTTACCCATTTATTTTAAAAATTACTTTTCAGTTTTAATGATGCACTCCATGTAAGGTACATTGAAGATAACCAGTATCCCATACAATAATGGGATCCTGAAGCAGTGGCTGATCATGCCTTTATCAGAAAAACAAGGATGACTCAAGATTGCAGGGCTATCAGAATGAAGTTCAGCATTTCTGAACTCTCCTCTGACTTCAGAGTATAACTTGGGATAGCCACAGTGTAAATGAAAGATCAAAATCTTCTCTGTTATAGCCAGAAATCGAAACCTTCAAGTGTTAGCTTTTCCTGATTTCCAGGCATTTACTTCCCTTATGGAATACATCTCATGTAGACAGTAATCAACTATCCTTTCCATCGACAATAGTTCAGTGGAACTAACACTCTGCAACTGGCATATATGATGGTTATTGTTCAGTATAACTCTTGGGGTGTGGGTTATTGTTTTCTTCCATTGGCTATTGATAAAGCTCTTCAACAAATGCCTTAAAATTTGCAGCAATGATGCATGTAGAACACGGTGCATGATCTGGTTAAAAAATGAATGGTGCTGTTAGAAGATTTAGTACAAGTATAAACTGTGGGTAGGCTAATTGGTACCACAGCAATTATTTACATTTACTAAATCTTTATCACTCTCTCAGATAAAGTCTTTCATATATGAATAATTTTCTCACATTTGGATATTGTAAAAACTCAGAAAGCTGCATTGCTATGTAGAAACTGAAAACGAGATGCGCTTAAATGAAGTTTAGTTTAAAACAATCCAACAGACACCAAGGTTGTCAGTCTGGTGAGTGCACAGGAAATATCCCCTTGTTGTTTTTTTCTTTTTACACCACTGGTTAAATATAAACAAAAAACCCCCACAGGCTGGGTTCCTACAAAGTACACAACGCTTGACATGAATAGTAAAACCCTGAGAATTAGTTGTGCCATTTCAATAAAAATGGTGATTCTCCCCGCCCATGCGGCTTCCATGAAATATGTATGAACGCTGCACCACCAGTATGAAAGTAGTTGCATCTTTGACTTTCATTTCTGTTTTGAATTTCCTTGAGGCTCAACACAGCAATGAGAGACCCTCTAGAAGACATGAACTGTATATCCTTTATGTTAATTCTTCTCCTTCGAAATCCTTGTAATACTTCTCAGGATGTTGCCATCCCACAACTCATCATGCTTACAGCGCTGCCATAAAAATTCTTACTCCAGCATACACTAATATTTAAAAAAAATACCAACAATTATTTTAATTCACACTGATTAACTTACTAGGACATTTCTTTCATTCCTATAAAACTAATTTCCACCACACTCAAAACAACTAGTTTGTTTATTTCTAAAGTGTTTGGTTTGGTTTTTTTCTGCAATCTTTAATTTATTTGCTTATTACATAAAGAACATAGAAAGATAATGCTGGATACCTGAAAAAAATCACTGTTTACCTTCCTGTCACACACAAAACATCACACACGTGACAGATCTCACTGCTTCCCTTTTCAGTGCGAGTCCTACAGTGCAGCTGTACTGAAGCGTCCTGCCGATCCATCCTCCCTCCTCCTCTTCCTCCCTCTGCTCTGCCTTCAGCCCCCTCCTGCTCAGATTTCTCATGGTGCAGGGACCAGTGTCAGTGTAGCCGAGCCCTAATCTTCCTCCTTGCTGTAGCGACATCACAAGTGCCCAGAGGCCACAGCTACTACACGCCTGAGCTTCCCTGCTGCCAGAGGGATTTCTATGCCATGAAGTCACTGCATGCAAACACCAGAGCTTTTATGCTCTGCAGACAATGAACATATACTCAAAAAAGGAATAATATCCCTGCCTGGTTTTGTCTGTAAATTCACATTTTCTTCTTTAGATCACTAAAAAAAGTTATTTGTTCATTTATAAAATTAACAATTTCCCACTACATTCGCAGTGAGGACTTGAAAAAATGCATCATAAGTCATCAGACAATTGACAGCAGAAGATATTCATGCCACTGGACAGCTATTTTTCATATGGAATGAATGAACTACATTAACATAATTCAGGGGAAGTTCTCTGGATGGTGTACAACCCCTCCATAAAAGCTTGCTTCTTCACTGAAAACAATTTACAGAGGTCACACAGGAGCAGAACTTCTGAGAAAGATTCAGATGATTAGAAATAGAAAATTCACTTCTAAACACAATTATTGACTAAAGAGATTATCCCAATTTGAAATGCAGTTCAAAACTGAAGATTTCTGAGAATATTCATCTATCATATTTGGCAAAGTTTTAAACTCAGGTGCAACTTGAACAAGGTGAGCAACCCGGCATGGAAAACTAGTTTTAAAGAGGCCATCTACAGACTTCACTTTGCCTAATTTTGATGATTCAGGGCCTCCCATCTACTAGGATTTTTGAAAGGCTGATCCCAATTTACAAATTACATTTACTGATTCTTAGCAAAGATTGGATTTATGAAACACTTAAGGATGAGGATATAACCTGTAAAAGAAGGAATCTTGAGGCTTGTAAATGACATTACAAAAAATACCTGTCATTGTTAATAAAACATAAATATCTTCTTTTTGCGCCAAGCCAACTTCATGCAAGCGCCTGCAGCTTTTATCATTGATAAAGAGGTTGAAGCCTGCATAGTTAAGATATATTTTCTAAATGGCTTGATATGTAAGATGTTATTAGCTGTAAAAACAGCTGGGCATTTACATTTGCAATACAAACTAAACAAAATATTATTCTGCTTAATGTAGTACAGGATTTTAATGCTTTTGGTTCAAAGTCTACCATGTTGCTATAAATTACCTTCTTCTATTACACATAAGTAGGTTTGTTGGTTCTCTCATTAATGATGACACAGTGTAATTGTTACAGAATGCGTAGCATAATTTTGCTTTGTGTGTCAGTCCAGAACAATGAACAAATGCTCCAATGGACTGTAACATCCGTTGGTAGCACACTTCATTTATCTGCTGTATTTTAATTTCTTTTAAACAAACACCATCTAACTGTAAGCTTGGTGAAATTACTATCAGCTAAAACATAATATTGATTCATGCACTCTACCTACAGGAATCTGTTGCCAATTTAATACCATATAAAGTCTCTTTTGGTATGAGATGTACATCAGGGTGTCTTCTGTCTTCCTGTTCTTAATCAAATATTGCTTGTTTATTCCAAAGGCACAGGAGACTTGAATGTTATAGGGGTTGTCTTTTTACTTGCCTAAGCAGCAGTACAGAATCATTTTTCCTGAATATTCATTATAGCCTTGGGCTAGATGGAGCTTTTAATCCTAACTACTCATTGCCAATGGGCAGATATACTAGAGGAAAAACAACTATTCACCTTTCTTTTTCCTAAATGATCGCATGATAAGCTTAACTACAACCACAACTATAAGAATAAGTCCTCAGAAATTAAAGCAGCAAGTTGTCTACTGATTGCATTTGGCATTGGTAAGGAGATGAATTCCACATCCTATCACCCCCAAGGCAGAAACATTCTGCATGTTTAAAAAGGAGTGTGAAAATGCTGTGCATAGAGTAGGTCACCTCTCCTTATGTTTCATGGAAAAAGACAAAACCACTAAGAAATGTCTGGCTGTAGATTTTTAGAAATTTTGTAAATTTTTACTATGACCTGTTTTGTGTGTTATTGCAGGGTTGTCATTTCTACACCACCCTGTTACTGCACAACCTTCCAGAACACCTCTCTGAGATAGGGAAGTACTTATTATACCTGTTTAATAAACAGTGAGGGGAGAGTCAGATAGACTGAGGTGCGACTCCTCAAACTCACTCTTTTGGTGCCCAGTTTCTAAGTCATTTGCATAAGGATCTGAAAAGTTTTGTCTGAAGAAAACTCCATTTGATTCTTCAGAATGCCTTAAACCGTGAGACACTTTCCGCATTAACAAAAGCAATATTTTTAATACTTGAATTTCATCAGGTTTTCAGAGTATTTGAAAAATTCAAAGGATAGAAATATAATTACTTCAGGGTAATGAACATGCTTTTCTTAACTATGCAAACAGTTCCTGGGAAGCATATATGTGTAAGTATGTGTGTATACAGAAAGAATACGAATATCAGTCTGAAAGATGTCATAAAAATCTGTTACACAATTTCCCCCAAGAACTTCAGAAGGAAGATTACCACTCGGTAGAGCACATTAGTTGATCTCTAATTAGTACTATAGAAAATGGACCATACCTTTCAATCTTCGTTCCATCCCTAATTACAGTTCCGTCTCACTAAGAACAAGTTAAGGATCTTTGCAGGTGTAGAAACTATAAAAACATAATTCTTCACTGACAGAATCCTGATTTTACATATGTATGAAGGCTTTCTTACACAGGACTACTGGAGTTATCTTTACAGGTCGTGCTGATGATTTGTAAAATTTCATTATCCTAACTTTGATGATGGGAAGTTCTATATGGCACAGAGAACATTACAAGATCCATTAGGACCTTGCATGCTTAGTCCTTAAATCTCATCTATAACTTACTACAATGACCTAAACAATAAAGTTTCAGAAATTAGAATATTTTATTCTATTTAATGCAAGACTAAGACTGATCTTCTTCATAAACCTCAAGTCTTTGACAGTCACAAAACTATTCTCATATGTACCTCTTGCCAATGAACTTCAAGGCTAAATCATGCAGAAGGTCAACAAGTTTGCAAATTT